CAAACCTTCCTGTCACCGTTTTTTTTTTTTTTCACAGGAAGCCCTAGAGGGGGAAGCTGAGTGTAACTGCTGAGAAGGGAAGCACTAGAAGGGAAACTGTGATGGTCTGCTGTCTAAAGTTTATAAAGTGTTGTGTTCACCCTAATGAAACATTTTAAGTGATATTTAGGATTTCTAGTGGGCAGCACAATGGCTAAATGGTTAGTATTTCCGCCTGGCAGTACTAGGGTCGTTGGTTCGAATCCCAGCCACGGCACCACCTGCCTGGAGTTTGCATGTTCTCCCTGTGCCTGTGTGGGTTTCCTCCGGGTACTCCAGTTTCCTCCCACACTCCAAAAGACATGCTGGTAGGTTAATTGGATCCTGTCTAAATTGGCCCTAGTATGTGTATGAATATAAGTTAGGGACTTTAGATTGTATGCCCCTTGAGGGTTAGGGACTGATGTGAATGTACAATATATATGTAAAAGTGCTGTGTAAATTGACAGCTCTATATAAGTATCTGAAATAAATAAATAAAATAAATAGTATAAGATAAAATTGGATTGCTGCTTCTGACACTTCCATAATGTAAGGGCTCTTGTACACTGCAGCTCCTAAACTGAAGTTCAGGAGCTGTTTTCCTATGTGTCCATGTACACACAGTCGTTTACAGGCAGTTGAGTTTACATTTGTTTTCTTGAATGCACCAAAATTGCATTCAGGAGTAGATTTTACCTGCGTTTCAAATGCCAAACATTTGTAAACGTGGTTAACCGCGTTTACAAGCGTTTGCGCTTAGACGCTTTTTTTGACAGGTCCATATCCAGATGCTGTCCAGAGCCTTTTTTCTTCATGAAAGATGCATGCAAAGCGTTTTCCATGTATTCAAATGGACCCGGTACACCAGCGCAGTCAGTTCCACATTTTGTGTGAAGGAAAAAATGGTAGAACATGCTGCATTATGCTCACGATGGGATCCATAGTGAATACAACCAGAAAAGACAGGTAATCCCAACACATTCTCTCTGCTTCTGCTCTCTCTATTTATCTCAAAATGTCTGAAATAGTTAATTAATTACTATTTTTCAGTGCATTCTGGGCATTTGGGAGGGTCTCTTGAGGTCATCTTTTAAAAACACTTCTAAACGCAAACACGCATAAACGCGGCTAAACGCGCATAAACACGGTATGCAAACGTGGCTAAACTGATGTTTTTTGACCTACGTTTTCCAGCAGTCAGTTTCCAGTGGTCAGAAGAGTTTTCTAAATGCACCGTGTACATGAGCCCTAAGACTATAGGATCCCATTACAGCATCTAAGATACAGCAGGACTCTGAACTCCACAGACTTAAGTTCATAATAGCAGGTTTCACTTAAAGCAGAACTTTACCCATAACAATTTAGGAACAATTAATGTTCTTTAACAGTCTACATTATTAATTATGCTACCAAAATTAGTGTGTGCTGTAAATTGCCTCCAGTTGCATTGCTCATGTTTCTTCTTGCTGGAGGCTACCATATTCTTGAAGCCCAGAGCAGTCACTTTCTTATTGGAAATGCTGCCTCTCTCCTTGGTCTCAAAAATGATACAGTATGTCATTTTCTTCAATTAAAATATGTACATTTCCAGCCCTGATTGTATGTCTTGGCTCAGATAGAGAGGAAGGTTGAAAGAAGCTTTACAGTGCTGAAGGTCACAGGCTCTGATGAAGATGAAAGGAGAGAATATCAGGAAAATAAGATAAGACACTATCCTTGTAAGTTTAAAGCTGGCCATAGATGGAGTGATTTTCTTTTCTGCAACCATGGGCTGCAGGAAAGAAAATTGTTCAATTTCCCCAACAACAACTGGAATAAGAAAACAACTGCTGCAAAAGCGACTACAGAGCTCAATCTCAGTCCCTTGAAGACTGAAATTGAGCTCTGCAGTCACATTTGCAGCAGTTGTTTTTTTATTCCAGGTCACAAACCTGCGCAATGTCCTTTTGTCTCTTTTGGTCAGTTTATTATGTCAACCGCTCTTATATTTATCAGATGATCTTTTCCTGGAAACTGTATATGCCATCATAATCTTTGATACTGTACCTTGTGACGCCACAAATAAATTGGCAACTTCAGTTACAGAGGCACCAGCTAAGCGGACACCAAAAATTTGCCTGCTTTGAAGTTCAGTAAGCTCTGCAACGACTCCGTTTTACTAGCAACGCACGCAGTAAATGACGAAAGTGAGGCTTCCCACCTACTAGCTAGGTGTCTCATCACACAGCGGAAGCAAAAGAGTGTTGCATCACGTCCGCTTTTAACGTCAAACATGTCTTCACTTTCACACTTGAAAATCATGTAGTGTCTCCATTTCTGTGTCCAACCCCTGTAAGTTTACAGTTAAATTCTCCCTTTAATATTATAATAGTTACTATGAATAGCCATATACATGCAGACTGGGCTATCAAGTTTGACCTGGACAGCTGGCAAATTTGATTTTACTATTTTATATCCATTATGTATTGGTGGCCTTCAAGTAGTGCTAAGCAGAGATTGGTAGTGCAAGCGCTGAGAGATTGTGTGCTGGTCTTCAGCGGATCCTAATGAATGTGACATCTGATCAATTTATGGTATCTTACCTGTACTGGCAAACCTAAGTCAGGCCGTCCATAGACCGTGCAGTTTTCCTTTCTGCAATCACACATAGTGTCAACAGGGGAATCCCTTCCACCAATACATTTTGTTCTCCTGGTGGGGAGCAGGGGAAGCTGTCCCCACTGGGAGAAGACAGGGATTATTGCTAGTGGCTATAATAGCCACTAGTGTTAATCGCATGTAAAATCTGGCAGGCTGGTTGTACCCAAGTTCATCGATCATTCAACTTGGGTATATTCAGCATGCCCATACATGGTTCAAATCTCTGCTGGTCCCTGCTGAACTGGCTGAGAGTCAAACTGTCTTTGGCTGGCTTAAGACTCAGTCCTAATTGTTTAATATTAACTAAACAATAGGATTGAGGACATAACGTCCTCAGCACTCAGGCAAGGGAGCATGCTCATAATCAATGCTGGTGATTGGTTATACAAGATGGACTTCTGATGTTCACATTACATTTACAGTCAGGTCCATAAATATTGGGACATCGACACAATTCTAACATTTTTGGCTCTATACACCACCACAATGGATTTGAAATGAAACGAACAAGATGTGCTTTAACTGCAGACTGTCAGCTTTAATTTGAGGGTATTTACATCCAAATCAGGTGAACGGTGTAGGAATTACAACAGTTTGCATATGTGCCTCCCACTTGGTAAGGGACCAAAAGTAATGGGACAGAATAATAATCATAAATCAAAATTTCACTTTTTAATACTTGGTTGCAAATCCTTTGCAGTCAATTACAGCCTGAAGTCTGGAACGCATAGACATCACCAGACACTGGGTTTCATCCCTGGTGATGCTCTGCCAGGCCTCTACTGCAACTGTCTTCAGTTCTGCTTGTTCTTGGGCATTTTCCCTTCAGTTTTGTCTTCAGCAAGTGAAATGCATGCTCAATCGGATTCAGGTCAGGTGATTGACTTGGCCATTGCATAACAATCCACTTCTTTCCCTTAAAAAACTCTTTGGTTGCTTTTGCAGTATACTTTGGGTCATTGTCCATCTGCACTGTGAAGCGGCGTCCAATGAGTTCTGAAGCATTTGGCTGAATATGAGCAGATAATATTGCCAGAAACACTTCAGAATTCATCCGGCTGCTTTTCTCAGCAGTCACATCATCAATAAATACAAGAGAACCAGTTCCACTGGCAGCCATACATGCCCACGCCATGACACTACCACCACCATGCTTCACTGATGAGGTGGTATGCTTAGGATCATGAGCAGTTCCTTTCCTTCTCCATACTCTTCTCTTCCCATCACTCTGGTACAAGTTGATCTTGGTCTCATCTGTCCATAGGATGTTGTTCCAGAACTGTGAAGGGTTTTTTAGATGTCGTTTGGCAAACTCTAATCTGGCCTTCCTGTTTTTGAGGCTCACCAATGGTTTACATCTTGTGTGAACCCTCTGTATTCAGTCTGGTGAAGTCTTCTCTTGATTGTTGACTTTGACACACATACACCTACCTCCTGGAGAGTGTTCTAGATCTGGCCAACTGTTGTGAAGGGTGTTTTCTTCACCAGGGAAAGAATTCTTCGGTCATCCACCACAGTTGTTTTCTGTGGTCTTCCAGGTCTTTTGGTGTTGCTGAGCTCACCGGTGCGTTCCTTCTTTTTAGGAATGTTCCAAACAGTTGTTTTGGCCACACCTAATGTTTTTGCTATCTCTCTGATGGGTTTGTTTTGTTTTTTCAGCCTAATGATGGCTTGCTTCACTGATAGTGATAGCTCTTTGGATCTCATCTTGAGAGTTGACAGCAACAGATTCCAAATGCATATAGCACACTTGAAATGAACTCTGGACCTTTTTATCTGCTCATTGTAATTGGGATAATGAGGGAATAACATACACCTGGCCATAGAACAGCTGAGAAGCCAATTGTCCCATTACTTTTGGTCCCTTACCAAGTGGGAGGCACATATGCAAACTGTTGTAATTCCTACACCGTTCACCTGATTTGGATGTAAATACCCTCAAATTAAAGCTGACAGTCTGCAGTTAAAGCACATCTTGTTCGTTTCATTTCAAATCCATTGTGGTGGTGTATAGAGCCAAAAATGTTAGAATTGTGTCGATGTCCCAATATTTGGACCTGACTGTAGATATAAGCTGATCTTATGTATGTCTACTTATGGTTTTCCTTTCAATACAGTTCTGCTATATATATATATATATATATATATATATATATATATATATGTTAGTATTTTTTACCAAAACAATAGTTAATTATGCACTTATTGCATTTAAAGTTCTCCTGCATATTTTTGAAAATTGGAGAGTACACAGGCAGTATAACATTGTACCAGGTATATAATGAAATATTTTTTCTTATTGACAGGTCCTGGAGACGGTACAGTAAACCTTTGTGAGAATGCCGGTCCCCCCGCCTCCTCCTCCAGGGGCACCCCCTCCTCCTACATTTTCACAGGTGGGTTATTAATCTTACATATATCTGATTTTTAATCCTGTTTATTAATGGTCTTTTTACTATTGAAGTGTAAGTCTAGCCAGAACTTAAAGCAAAATTAAACTGTATCTGAGCACCACAAGCTGCTGAAAACACTATTTAATTCATTTTTAATATTCACAGCAAACTCACCCATCCATCCATGTCTCTTGATCAATCAACTTGGGTACATTCACCCAAACCGTACACTCCGCTCCTCGCAAGACCTCTTACTCTCTAGCTCCCTTATCTCCTCCTCCCATGCTTGTCTCCAAGACTTCTCCAGGGCATGGCTCATCCTCTGGAACTCCCTACCCCAATCTATCAGACTCTCACCTACTCTACTTGCCTTTAGGCGATCACTGAAAACCTATCTCTTCAGGGAAGCCTTTCCCGCCCTCTGCTAATTCTGGAATCCTCTACTCTTCCAACCACTCCATCCCCCACAGTTACTACCTACTGTACCATTCACCCCTCCCTCCTAGATTGTAGGTTCCAAGGAGCAGGGTCTTCAACTCCCTCCTGTATTGAACTGTATTGTTACTGTATTGTCTCCCACTATAATGTAAAGCACTGAGCAAACCGTTGGCGCTATATAAATCCTGTATAATAATAATGATAATAATACATTCAGCTCACCCATACATAGTTTGAATCTCGGCCGGTTCCTACTGAACAAACCAAGATTAGAACCATCTATGGCCGGCTTTAGTTGTTTTTGGTAGTTTTTTATGTCTCAGTGCATAGAGGAGGATAGAGGCAGAAATAAAAACTAATTATACTGTGTTTTTAATAAAGACTGATACTCTGAGGTTTTTATCACTGTCTGTGACCCCAATTAGTAGATTATCCTTCACTTAATGTGTGGTCACCAAGACAGGAAGTGAGGGAAAATCTCCAAACTGGAGGTACATGTAACAAGGGAAGCCTAACAAAAGTTTTAAGCCTTGTCTACACTGTCCAAAATTTAAATAATTGTTTTATTCTCTTTACATAGTTGCTTCCCGGGGAACATTGTGTTCATAACAGATTTTTATTGCAGGCAAATACAGAAAAACCCTCTTTATCTAAATGTGAGCAATCAGGAAGAAGTGCTCTGTTGTGTGATATTTCAAAAGGAAAAAGGCTCAAGAAGACAGTCACCAATGACAGAAGCGGGCCAGTCCTTGACAGTAAGTTTATTCCTCCCTATATTTATAAATACAGTGCAGCATTCACCTTTTTCAAGTGGTTTCACAATTTTCTGTCCAAATCAAACAAATAAAGGTTAGTTGACCCAAAGATAATTTTCCATTTGGGTGGACATAGTACTGGGAGGTTGATTTGCCTACCAATTTCTTATTATTTTTCTGAGACATGAGAAATAAGTCATAATGCCAATCTGTAAGTATTGTTATATCTTAAAGCAGCCCTGTTATAAGAGAAATATGATGCAGCTAAATCTGAGTTACATGGCTGTTAAGCCAACTACTGGCTGCAACACTTTGAGTTACCTGACCCAAAACAAGTAGGCAGATCAGAAAAGTCAGAAGACCTGCACACTTGTTTGATGAAGTTTGATGAAGTTTTCCTTTCAATTACTCCTCCTCCCAGGGCTCAGTCTGATCATACACTATACAATCTGGTTGTACAATTTCTGTAAATTGTCCTTTAGAGTTACCAAAATTATGGTTTTATGAGGACAAACTGAAACAACCAATTCAATTGTATCAAATCAGACAGGCCCTTGTATTACATATTTGATGGTAGAGCTAAAGGAAATTGTACAATCAGATTGTATAATGTATGGTCAGCCTTAGGCAAGCCAAAGATGATGCAACTTTCTTTCCTGCAACCACGGGTTGCAGGAAAGAAATTTGCTTGATTCCCCATCAATACAGTCAGTGTGGATGGGGGGAATCCCTCCCACAGTACTATTGTGTTCTGCCACCAGGAAGCCTTCCCTGCCGGCAGAGCACAACGATCACTGCTGGCAGCTATAGCCGTTGGCAGTAATCACATGCAAAAATCCAACAGGCTGGTTGTACTGAGGTCAATCGATGGATTGACCAGCATGCCCATAGATAGATCGAATCTTGGTCAGTCCCTGCTGAACAATATGGGATTCAACCCATCTATGGCCTTCTTTTTACTCCACAATGCTGGCAGATCCATGCTGTATGGTTTACAGGGAAATGCAGTCACCTCTGGAAATTCTCCCAAAGTTCTGGCGCAATCCTATGGAAAGACCATTTATTGTAGGGTTGCATAATAGATAGCCTTTATATAGAAATGAAAGGATTTGTTTGTACATGAGCTAAGGATTTTCAGACCGGATGGGAGAGTTTCCAGCAGTGGCTTTGCGGTGTCCCATTGTCCACACAGGTTTGGATCTGCTAGAGTATAAGGCCTTGGGAAGGGGGGAGTCATTTAAAGGATAATTATACAAAACTACAGTTAGCCTTTAAACTATTAAACTTTCTTAAACAGCATGACAGCCAGGCAACAAGCTTTTTCAGAAGAGGAAGTCAACAAGGAAAGACTTTGAGAAAAGCAGTGAGGTAGTCACATAAGCAGGGATGAGCGGGTTACACACAGTTACACAGTCAGTCTGGCTGAAAAAAGGCAAAAGTCCATCCAGTTCAACCATTATCAGAAGAAGGAAAAGAAGAAAAGAGTGGGACTCTCTAGGTACCAAAAACAACAACACCATTAAGATACAAAAGTACAACATTTATTTAACAAAGATAAAAATTATACATAACACGTATAATGGACCAATCTGTACTAACTTACAGCTTCATGGATAGGTCAACTACGTTCCATCTGGGAAGATGTCTTCAGATGGACTTTGAGACCTTGAAACCTCAACGCATTTTATCTCTTAACAAGCTTTCATCAGGAGAAAGGAAAATGGTCTATAACGGAAGCACATATGGATAAACACCACATGTATACATACACAAAAATAGGGTAATTCATATAACAAAGGATACTTATACATACCCCAAAAGAGAGTATACTAAAAAACACATAGAAAGATGCATGTCCTGTATGGTAGGTCTCCAATGGAGTCAGATGAAGTGCAGAGAGGTTAGACCCAGTCAATTGGCATAGAAGATAGAGACAACAAGCCTAAGCAAAAATAAATATAGTAATAGTATTTGTGACCACTAGGAAAAAACCCCAAGTTCTGAATATGGTTGCATCATAAAGAACTACACTGGTTACCTACCAAAATCAGAGAGTGATGAAATACAACTTTAAGGATCTCATAAATAGTCATGATAGATATGCACCAATCCCAGTGCTGCATACACCCAAATAGATCAATAGGCAGGATCCCCAAAAACAAAATCTAAACAAAGAACACAGTCATTGACCATGAGGCCCCCAACAGGCCCATAAATTCACATACTGATTATGGCAGTGTCTCCATACCTACCAAACAGTATGTCATTACATATAACTCTAGGGATCACATGGAAGATCACAATGGCTCCACAGCAACGGTTGTACTGCATGTAGCCACCACACATCACTAATCATGGTCCCACATAATGAATGGCCTCTAGTCCATTAACATGGAAATCAGGGTATATAGTTAATGAAAAAGCACACAGCACACAATATAAAATTACCCTCAGTCACTAACTAAGATGTTAACTACCAACTATACAAAAGCCCATGCCACTTAAACTTCCAAAAACTACCTGCCAGAATTGCAACATGCAAATGCAGAGCTTCCCAGATTGCCTCGATGGTTCCAAACAAATACGTAGAGCAGACAGCACTGAATGCCTCCAAACTTGCCTAACCAATCAGGTGCTGCAAACCAGCCAATGATAATCAACCAGTCCTAAAGTCATTAAAGCCAGCTAGGTATCTGAGGAGAGGAGGTCAACATACAGAACCGCCCCTTCCATCCTCCCCGCCCATCCAATTAAATATGGTTGTGCCAAAACCGGCCACCAAACATCCGCTGAGATTACCATATGTGGTGAATGAATAGACTGCGCCACTTCCGGTGCACCGGACGTCATATCCAGCGTGACGCATGCACCATCCCAGATGGAATTGCGCAGCCATGTTGAATCAGGGCAGGTACCAGCTTGCAAAGGGCCACCATGCAGGTGTCCCCAAAAACAGTCAATTCCCACACAGGAGAGACGCTGGCTATCCGGATAAACCATAAAGCAACCACAAACCAAAGGAAAGAGAGCCCCCGTTCCCAACCGGTATGGGGGCCACGCTTGCCGGGTACTTAACCCGATCTCAACCAGGGAGGCCCCCACATGTTGTTTAAAGTGCCATGCATCGATCTGTACAACTACCATATACAAATGCCAACAACATAAGGAGCTAACAAGTATATCATAAAAATGGTTCATATAATAATCATATAACTCCTTTTATTAAAAAAAACAAAACAGATCATCCAGAATGTTATCAATAAATCGATATGGATTTACATTAAATGTTCACATCTACCTGAGATAAAGCCATCCAAAAATGGTCTGAACCTCAAGATATCGTTCAATCCAGGACAGTTATAGGCTCGGATGGAAAGGTGAAGTTACCTAATGGCAGGTAGACTTGAACATTTAATGTAAATCCATATTGATTTATTGATAAAATTCTTGATGATCTGTTTTGTTTTCCAATATATGGTGTTATATGATTATTATATGAACGATTTTTCTAATATACTTGTTAGCTCCATATGTTGTTGGCATTTGTATATGGCAATTGTACAGATCAATTCTTAGGCTTGTTGTCTCTATCTTCTATGCCAATTGACTGAGTCTATGCTCTCTGCACTTCATCTGACTCCATTGGAGGCCTGCCATACAGGACATGCATCTTTCTATGTGTTTTTTAGTATACTCTCTTTTTGGGTATGTATAAGTAGCCTTTGTTATATGAATTACCCTATTTTTGTGTATGTATACATGTGGTGTTTGTCCATATGTGCTTTCGTTCTATGCCATTTTCCTTCCTCCTGATGAAGGCTCCTTAAGAGCTAAAACGTGTTGAGGTTTAAAAGTCTCATCTGAAGACATTTTCCCAGATGGAACGTAATTGACCTATCCATGAAGCTGTAATTTAGTACAGATCCATTATATGCGTTATGTATAATTTTAAATTTTGATAAATAAATTTTGTACTTTTTTATCTTAATGGTCTTGTCATTTGGTACCTAGAGAGTCCCACCCTTCTCTTCTTTTCCTTCTTCAGTATATGTCGTTTTGGGATGTGGTACCTATATATTACTGACAGTCATAGACTTGGCATAATTTAGTACTTTATATGAGCAGATTATCATTCCCTGTCCTAGAGATCACAAAGCTCCTCCTAACAATGCCTTGATTTACTTTCTCTCCATAAGGCCGGCACCACCTTTATGAAGGCATTGTCCAGGGTTGGCACCTACTTACTGGTGTAAGACATTTTCCCTGGTGACACAGTTGTGTAAACCCTGGTGCCTGTTCAACAGCCACTATGTTTTGTACAGTATGTACAAAAGCTATTTCACGCAAATCAGCTGCATTCTGGAGCCGCAATCCAAGTGATCATTGGAGAAGAGATTAAGGAAATGCTCCCCTTTTGCCTGCAGCAGACTGATGACATCATTCTCTCATGATGATATATTGAGGTCCAGACTCTTTTACTTGCCTGGAGCTAAAGAATAGTTTTTGAATGATAAAAGACAGAGCGTTTTTAAAAAGAATATAAACTCTTGTTGTATACTGTATATCAGAAGTTTATTCATGCAGACTTGTAGCCCATTCTAAATTGAAAAAAAAACACATTTGAAGCTATTATATACTTACCTTGTCACAAAAGTGTAGTTTTTAATATACAATTGTATGCTGAGGTGGAAGAAAAAATAATTGTGTTTTTCTTTTTTTCCAATAGAACCCAAAACATCTCCTGGAGGCGGCGGAATGGGTGGTGGTTGTGGTGGTGGTGGCAGTGGTGGTGGCAGTGGTGGTGGAGGAATGGGAGGAGGTGGAGGAGGCTTTGGAGGACCTCCTGGGTTAGGTGGCTTGTTTCACGGAGGAATGCCAAAGCTACGATCATCAGGAAGCAGAGAAAATGGTACTTCTACTACTCTATTTCTATATGATGTATTATCTAAAAATGTCTAAGTTATTATGAAGTGTTATATAATGTAAACAGTTTTGCAAATTTTTATTTATTAAATTAAACTGAATGATGTTTTCAGTGCTGCTGGAATGACTTGTGCCACCTAGTGGCCAAAAAAAAAATACATTTTGGAACAGAATCTCTATTCAGTACACACAGAACTAATATTTAAAGTGCAGGTGGAGTATAATAGACTAGTTAGGGTATACCTTCTTATCTCTCTTGGACACGCTGCTGGCAAGATTTCCTGCCATATTTCCCTCCTCCTTTCCTGCCTACTGTGGGGTTTAATCCTTATACAATTATGAAGTTGTTACAGAAGTTCCAATTTTTTTCTTAAATTCCCCATAACATAACAGTTAATAAAATATTATACAGAGAGAGTAAAGCTGGGTACACATACAGTGTATAGAAATTTGGCCAGTTCAGCAGGAACCAAACATTTTTTGATCTGTGTGTAGCCCTCTCTGTTTTAAAAAAAAGCTGATAGTTAGACCTGTTTCTGTTGAACTGTCCTGCTGGGAAACCAGCATTTAATCAGTCAGAATACTGAGCATAGCGGGAGAGATTCCTGCATTCACATCACTTGTGTGGATGAAAGAATCTGTCAGTTTTTGGGGTTTTTTGTTTACTAAAACTGCAGAGTGCAAAATCTGGTGCATTTCTGCATAGAAACCAGTCAGCTTCCAGGTTTATTGTCAAAGCTTAATTGAACAAGCTGAAGTTAGAAGCTGATTGGCTACTATACAAAACTGCACTAGATTCTGAGTGCACCAGTTTTAGTAAATCTACCCCACAGTGTGTACCTAGCTTAAGAAGCACTAAGAGCTCATTCCCACAAGTGAATTCCTCCTTACAGCATAAGCACACTGGTGTATTCTGATGCCAGGAATCCCTGGTGACAGTCTGGCGTTTGCATGCATGTGCCACTTTACACAAGTAGCAGCGCATACCTGAGTATAGAGTCCTGCAACTGTAAGGTAAGTTACACAAAAAAGACATGATGTGGTTGCTGATTACTTGCTTTGATAAGAAATAATTTGCACATTGTCTTCAGTTCCACCCACCAAGTTTATCGTCAGTTGATCATAGTATTTTCTGCAACTGTCTGTACTAAAATTTGTACTCACGCAACTATAACATTTTAACAAAATTATGCCATTTTTAGATTCAGTGGGAAGCAGACCACAAATGTTGCCTCCTGGTGGAAGAACAACCACTCCTAGACCTTTTGTCCCACCAAGTGCATCTCCAAGAGGCCCTCCACCTCAACTGGGCATAAGAAGCAGTGCCCCAGAACTACAGAGAAACCGCATGCCACCTCCTCCAAGGAACGATTTTAGTCCAAGATCAGAAAATGCACCACCTTTAGTCCCTAATACACCGAGACCCATGCCATCAAGTCTTTACAACAGAGGCCCTCCACCAGTCCCTGCTGGAAACAGGCAAATGACCGCAGGATTTGCTCCTTCACCTTTTTCTTTAAATAAAAGTCCTGGATTTGGTGGTAACAGCAGAACATCTCCATCAATGCCTCCACAACTGCCTTCTATGAACAAGCCATCACTTTCTCAAACACCTAGTCGTTCCATGGATGACAGACCACCACCTCCTCCAACAGGAAACAGACCACCATTCAGCAGAGATGATGATAGACCACCACCTCCGCCAACAGGAAATAGACCATCACTTGGCAGGGATGATGACAGGCCGCCGCCACCACCATCAGGACATAGACCTCCATTTGGTAGAGATGATGACCGTCCACCACCTCTTCCAGCAGGAAACAGACCACCATTTGGCAGAGAAGATGACAGGCCACCTGCTCCTCCAGCAGGACATAGGCCTCCATTTGGCCGAGATGATGATCGGCCACCTCCACCTTCATTGGGACATAGACCACCATTTGGTAGAGATGATGACAGGCCTCCTCCTCCTCCAACAGGAAATAGACCTCCACTTGGAAGAGATGGACCCCCAGCTCCCCCACCTCAAAACAATAAGCCACCAGTTCCCTCCACACCTAGACCCATTTCATCTAGCCAGGGACCTCCTCTGCCACCAGGCCGCCCTGGACCTCCACCACTTCCTCCTACCCCTTCCAGTTCTGAAGATATGCCAAGACCCCCTCAACGAAATCCTTCTTTTTCATCCTTACCTGCTCCACCTCCACCTGCTGCGCTCTCTAATCGTTCTGGTCCACCCCCACCACCATCTAGAGATCCACCTCCAAGAACTGGTAAACAACTTTACCTGGTATCATATATATTATATCATGTTAGCCACAAATATAATATTTCTGGGATCTGGCAGCTAGATGTTCTAGTACTTTTAAAAAGTGCTAATATGGCCAATGTCATTGATCTAACATGGTCTAATTAGGCCCCTGTGGCCATATTGGGTCACTGATGTCACAAGCATCCTTGCCGTTGTTGCTCCTGCAGCTGATTAGGCCATCACTGACAGCTTCCCTCCAAGTTAGGCTGAACTTGGGTTCAGACCAAACTCAAGCTCTTCCCTAAAGAGAAGCAAGACCAGGCAGTAGCAGAAGAGGCATCCTCCCTGGGCACCATGCTGCAGGAGAGCCGTTCAAATCACTGTAATTAATGCTTACTTGCTGAGTTCACTGGTTTCACTTTAGGAGGATTTATTGCTCTAATATGACAGAGGATGGAAAGTAACTGATACATGTAAATCATTTTCAGACATGCCAGCAAAATCATTTGCTTAGAAAATTTGGTAGAAAAGTAAAAAAATGTACTTATCCCTTGACCCTTTAGCTGGCAGAGCCGTTTTTGCGTTTTTTTACATCATATGGAGGGCAAAAAAACACCTATGCGATATAATATTTTTAAGACAAGATCTCTTTCATAAGACATCTGGTCTTCAACCCCTGGTTCACATATATGCGGCCGTGTGGGCCACGTTTTGCGCAGGACGAGAGCCCATTCATTTGAATAGACTCCCGTGCCCCGTGACACGCAGGGAAGAAGTCCCTGCACTTCTTCTGAAAACGCAGCCAGCACGGGAACCTCGGTTCCCAGCACGGTTGTGTTTTCCAGTGCAGGCAGAGTGCCATTAGAACTAATGGCACCCGCCTGTAGGTCCGCATTTCTCTGTGCGGGTGCTGCACCTGCACGGATTTTCGTGCGGATCCGCAGCCGCACCACCCACACATATTTGAACCTAGCATTAGACCCCTGATGTCTCACCTGCCTTCTATTAAAGCTAATGGAGCACAGAGAGGGCATAATCTGGAGGGTCACAGCCATCAAATCACATTCATTAGAAAGCTGACAATTGGCTTGTGGAGTGTACAAGCCTGCTGTCAGCTTTTACACACACTCCTGGCAGCTGCCAGTAGAGTATATACAGCCCCCACTGCCACTGCCTTAAACCTTACGGTGGTGGCAGTAAAAGGGTTATATAATAATTAGCCACCTAAGGACAGCAAGTTTGCTGTTCACAGAACAGAAGTGCAAAGAAAGAAAAAAAGCCTGATACAAAGACAGCTAATGCAGCCAACGCATCTAAGGGCTGATAAAGGATAAGTTCACCTATTAGAAAAAAATAATAAATGCATATTTTTTTGCAGGCACAAAAATGTGCATTTATTATTTTTGCCTACAGGAGCCTGGAAAGCTTTGCACCAGCGATCAGTAGATGTCTCCTGCAGACCTGTCAAAATATCTGCTTGCTGTACGGGATGTATGAGCAAGCAGATATTCTAACAGGGAGCTTCAATGAACTACCATGGCAGTCCACAGCACCGTGGTAGTTCACTGAAAGTGAAGTCAGTGAATGAATGATGCGGCCGTGTGGGCAGGGCCCTGCACCGCCACGTTGTTTTCAAATCTGACAGATAGTGTGGGGAGACTTCTCCCTGTATTATCTGTCAGAGGGAGGGGCGCGGCGGGCTGCGGCTGCAGCTATGGGAACGTTACATGTTCCACCCTAAAAATGGGTAGAACATGTAACATGTTCCCAAAGATGAACTTATCCTTTAAGCTGCATTATATTACATTTTTGTTCTTGGGTTTAGATATACATTTAAAGCTACTTGCTAATCTATTGCAGTGTATTAGTGCAGATTTGCAGTGTGTACCAATTGGTTTCAGCAAATATATACATAGTAGTGGTATAATTATAGATATAGTACACAAACTAAATGTGCCAGGATGTTCTGTTTTTATCATGACAAGTGGCACATCTCAATATGTAAATAAGTAGAGTGACTTTAACAGTACCTCTACTGTACAACCAGGGGCGGACTGACCATTTGGAAACTCGGGCACTGCCTGAGGGCCTGGGGTCAGTAGGGGGCCCCATGAGATACCCCTGGTACCTTTTTCATAGGCTTTTTTGAGTTTGGGCAAGGACACAGGGGCCCCATGATCCCCTATTGCCCGGGGGCCCCATGAGTTGTCAGTCCGCCCCTGTGTACAACCATACATACAAGCAGCTTTTCAGATATGAAGATAGGTGGCAGTGTTATCCTATCAGTCATTATGTTGGACTGGTATGTAGACATATAATAGTTACATATCCTAAATCTGCTTCTGTCTAGGACAACTTCCTCCACCTCCTCCTTCTAACAGAAATGGATTTACTCATAGAGGATCAATACCCCAGCCTCCGATGAAACCTGGAGCAGAATCCCCCAGAACTGGCTCCAGACCACCACCACCTCCAGAACGACCAGGCTTAGGGCCTCTGCCCCCTCCACCACCTTCTTCATCTGTGAGAAATGGTTATCAAGATTCATCTAATGAAGGTATGCTTACCTATATCAAAAAGTGCATTTAATAATTACAAAAAAACCCTTTGCTGGAACCCCAAGGGCTAGTTCACATCATGGTCCAGAGATGTCAGTTTTTTCTGCATGCATTCTGCAAGGGCACAACAAAATCAATTGTTCTCTATGTTCCCTGTTCACACCACAACAGTAGTATCACGTGCAGATTTTTTCTGTAAAGGAATCTGCATGAAAACTGATGGAAACTGATGCACAAAGTTCACTTGCAGAGACATCATTTTACATCAGTTCTCATGTCCGTTTATATGAGTTCTTATACAATTTTATGCAAATTCCTGCGCAGTAAAAAATCTGCTTGTGATACTAGTGAACAGGACACATAGAAAACAATTGATTTCGTTGTGCCCTGCAGAACGTGTGCAGAAAAACTGACGGCTCTGCACCATGGTGTGAACGAGCCCTAAAACTCAATGAAGCGTGCATGAAAACTGATGTAAGGCTCATTCACACCATATGCGCAGAAAAAGTGATGGAAGCTGATGCGCGGATTTCACTTGCAGAAACATCAGTTTACATCATTTGTGTCAATGAGTATTATACACGTTGCAGATTCCTGCACAGAAAAAATCTGTACGTGATACCAGTGTTGTGGTGTGAACAGGGCACATATTAATTTAGAACAATTATTTTTTTGTGTCCTTGCAAAACGCATGCAGAAAAACTGATGTCTCTGCACTATGGTGTGAACAACGCTGTAAACTGATGTCTCTGCAAGTGAAATCAGTTTTTCTGCACGTATGGTGTGAATGAGGTCTAAAAAAAGCCCATCCATAGTTTCAAAAAGTGGCAGTTATTTTCAGCTAATCCATTGTAATCTAAATCCAAAAGCCTAATCCGTGTGTTAAAACTTTGTGAATTTAGCCTGGACAATGTGATAATTACATAGTTAAAAGTGCAGCGTTTTTATTTACACATTAAACTCCCATTGCATAATACCTAAAATTTTGTTTCAGGATGACATCTGCGATGTTTGTAGATTACGTGGGACCATGGTTGCGTATCTCTGTTTCAGTAAAGCAGAATATTACAGGATGGACATTTTTCTCCAACCCTGCATCCTGATAAGCAGCAGCACTTTGGGTTGCAACATTTTAAAGAGACCCTGTCTAAATATGAGAGGTTTTTTAATGTTTATTATAAACAAGCAAATATCCAGTCATCATCCAGATCCTACCCTCAGCACATGCTGAGCCAGTGGCTTGGAATACACATAAACAATGGGAGTTCATGCTTCTTCCAACTCACAAGGTACTGATCTTGCAAAGTAGGGATCAGGATGACAGTCATGAAGCAAGTACATTTAAAAAGGCCAACAATGATAGCTCCCTTATTTTAATCCTCACAGTTCCCCTTTAAAAGTACTTCCTTGCATACATGCGTAAAAGTAATTTTTATGTGATTGTTATATTTTGCATGTTTGCTGTCATTCATTTAATAAGGGTATTTAACATACCATTTGCAATAAAAGGCAAGGTCCACATTTAGATTTGGGCCCCCTAAGAATAAATAATGGATTCTGCTTGTTTGCTATTCAGTACTTATGGAGTATCCTGCCTCAGTGAGCGCACAGTGTATGGGTAGCATTAAAGTAGATCCATACCTAATCTTATGTAAATTTTAACATGGTAATGTAATTTTAGCAATTTTATAGGCAATGTTGCTTTTTTTAATCTGTAGGTATTATTAATGTGTTAATGACATAATACCTGGTGATCCTGACATTAAAGTAGAACTCTGGGCTAAACCTATCAAATCCTAAACCTGTTCCCACTCCATTTATAAGCCCTGTACTAACTACCCTGAAAGATGTCTATACTTACATTTTAAAAAAATGGTAAAACACAAAATAACAATAATAAAAAAAAACTACTGACACCAGTGATGGAACTACCAGGGTCACAAAGGTTGCACTTGCGCCCAACCCTGGCATGCTGCCACCAGGCTTAGAGGGAAGGGTCCTGGCCAGGGGTCAGGGGGGGCCCTTCATGGTTTCTTCCACCAGGGCCCTGAAGGTTCTAGCTAATCCACTGAATCTTATACTTAAAGTGGAGCTTCACCCAAAAGTGGAAGTTCCGCTTTCAGGACTGTTCCCCCGCTCCATTTGGCATATTTGGAGAGGGGGGGAGCGGGTACCTGAAATTGACAGGTATCCGCTCTCACTTCCCCTGAGATCGCCTAGACAATCATAAATGGAAGTTGTCATCCCTCCCTCCCTGTAGTCTTCTGGGACTTGTGACAGGTCCCAGAAGACTTCGAGACCAGTCAGAAAGTGCAGCGCTACTTGCGCATGCACAGTGGGCACCTGGCTGTGAAGCTTTTAAAAGTCAGCAGCTACAGTTTTTGTATCTGCTGACTTATATTTTTTTACATTTTCATTGGAACTCCGCTTTAGGATAGCTCAGGTATTCTTCTTCTGTATGATATCAGTAATTATATTCTTAGTTTTATCCTTGTTGTAGGATACTGTTATCTGTGTGTTTCATTATTATTATGTTTTTTTTCCTTCATATAGATGAATGGGAACGACGATTTTCATTCCGCCCATTTACTGATCTGCCACCACCGGAACCTTACATACCGATGAACAAGTCTTACCCCAGTAAACTCATGAGAAATGATAGCCGAAGTGAGTATAATTTTCTTTTCTTTTAAAGAATAAGTGCACGTTCTTTACCCCTAGCCCCCCGTATATTCTTAATGTTTTATACATGTTGTACCTACAACCCCACTCTGAGACCTGTACTGTGTGGCCTGTGCTGAAATCACGCTACCATTGCACAGAATCTTCACATCATTAGTTGTACGCTGAAGCACCTTGACCTTCATTCAAATCTATAGAAAACTCATCATTGATATTAGTTAAAGATCTTTAAGGAACGAGGTTGTAGATAAATATATCCTTTTACAAATGTATAAGGTTAAAGGAGGTTCAAACCTAAGGCCTATGCTAGACTAGCTATCCTCAGAACAATACAAAAAAAATCCCCAGCACAATCTCCAGTCATTTAGCAAAAGTCTACATTTAACAGTTTTAACATTTTATGTTAAAAATAAGTTTTTGAACAAAATGATCTTAGAAAAGTGCCACACCCTTAATTATATATATCAGCAACTCCAAATCCAAAAAAATTACTTTGGCATTAAATAAATCAAGCATAGGAATGCGCTAAAAAAACACATAAAAAGTGTCCATAAATCAATATGTGAAAGTCCAAAACATCTTAAAAATATAAAGTAACTCGTGTGAAAAAATATAAAACACCGTGAGCAATCCACCACTGAATAAATAGAATACACTCACTAGAGCTAAGTGCTGATCAAATTATAGACCAGCCTTAGCGTTTTTGCTCTGGGAGCGATGAAAGCAGCAAACTCCAGACTTTTGGTGTAATACTCTGCAGTGGTAGTTTGCTGCTTTCATCGCTCCCAGAGCAAAAACGCTAAGGCTGGTCTATAATTTGATCAGCACTTAGCTCTGGTGAGTTTATTCTATTTATTCGGTGGTGGATTGCTCACGGTGTTTTATATTTTTTCACACAAGTTACTTTATATTTTTAAGATGTTTTTTGGACTTTCACATATTGATTTTTGGACACTTATTATGTGTTTTTTTAGCGCATTCCTATGCTTGAGTTAACAATAAGTTTTCTGCTGCTTACATTTGCAAACACACCTGAAGTGCTACATCAAGGCAATTCTGCAAAGATAAAACCCCAGAGGGCCCATAGCCTAATGCTAAAACAATCTGTTTTAGCATGCATGCAGGCTGGAGTCCATTGTGTGTTGATGGTGGGGGGCAGTACCTTGCATTTTTACAATAGAAGGCACTGTTTACCTTTTTTTTTTCTTTATTGAAGTGTGATAAAGTAACATTCTAGTAATGTCTATGGACTGTGATGCAGAGACCAACACACACTTCAGGTGAGCTACACTGATGTTCTGAAAATTGCAGCCATGCTGCATTTTTTGGAACTTCTTCAGTCTGCACCTCTCTACTCTGTTGTAATGGAATTGGGGTACATAGAAAGAAATGTTTTCTTAAGTGCCCTTTCAAAGACCCACTTAGATCTGTTGCAGAAAAACACAGGTCTCTGCACATAGTGTGAACAAGCCCTAACTCAAAACTCTGAGCTGCAAGACATAGGCATAATAATGAATAAATGGAGAGCAGGTGTGCCTTGGAGGCAATTCTTTCTCAGTAAAGGTACAGCAACACAATAGAAGCCCAAGATCACTGAAGGACACTGAAGACCTCTAGCATGTGTCTATACCAAATCTAACAATGGTAACTGTTCACATCCATTTAAACGAACAGGATTTTGCTGCATACTTTTGCAAACACATCTGAAGCCACAACAGCATGTCAAGGCACCTCTGCAAAGTGTGGCATCTAATTCTAAAAGTCTGAACTCCTAACTTGTTGTCTGTTGCTGGTCCCAATTCATCAGCAACAGAATCGACAATTTACTGGCTGACCCGCCAGTAAATAATACTGTAGAAGCAGGGAAGTGATTTATTTGCTCTCCTAGAGATCCCGTTGATGGTGAGTTGCCTCTAGTAACAGGATCTCTGGCGTATTATGGGTCTAAAAGTACACTGTCCTTTCACATTTTATTTACATTATATTGAGTAGGAGGGTTGCTTTCAGTCTCTCTATAGAAACATTGTGGCACTATTGGTGGATAGTAACTCAGGACAAGTTATAATGAGCCATTAAAAATAAGATCCCACTAGTGTCCATTCATAGCAATTATTATCTTGTTGAGCATTGGTCTCCAGACTATGGCCCGAGGACCGAATGTGGTCCTTGGCTTGCCTTTATCTGGCCCTTGGGGCACTACTCCACCAACTGACCCCATCTATGGGGCACTATTCCTCCCACTGAAACCATCTATGGGGCACTATTCCTTACACTGACCGTATTATTCTTCCCATTGATACCAAGAATGGGGCATTATTCCTTCCATCCAAACCAATGATGGTGCATTGCTTATGCCCACTAAGGTCAGGGCATATTTTTACTGCCACTGGCAACAGTCCAGCCACCCTAAAGTCTGAATGAGAGTAAACTGGCCCTTTGCTTAGAAAGTTTGGAGACCCCTGTTATATTGGCTTTATATTAGTTATATATATCTTATCTGATATGAATGTTGTCTGGTTGTTCTAGGTGGTTCCAGAAGAGAGAGAGGTGCCCCTCCTTTGCCTCCAATACCCAGGTGAAAAGGATCTCCATGCCAAAGATGCCAGTGTTCCTTGACTTTTTTGTATATGTTGGAAGAAAAGGAAAAAATGCCCAGATAAGATCATCTGAATGACTTGGGTTGATACATCTTGGTCTACAGTTGCATTGCATTATTGAGGGATGTTGTGTTACTGTCAATCAGCATTGCTGTGTTGCTGTCCTGAGGATAACCAGTGTTAAAGACCAACATAAAGACCTAACAGTTCATGACTATGAAGACATAATTTCTTAATATGATTGCTATTCTCAGGAATCTAAAAAAAAGTACATCTACTCATTGATTTTTCATGTCCAAAAGAAAATCTGCACTTTCTTTTGAATTCTGTTTTTACCATGGTAGTCCTATGTAACTTTTTTCATGGTTAAAATGCCGTAAGTGTAATGTAAATATGATTCCTTGCACCTCAAGGAACCCAAAATCTAGTAATGCTTTCTCTCTACAGATGAAATTTCTGTCAGCAGAGTGTTTTGGTGTGCTCCCGTGACACCTGCAACTGTCCCTTAATGCCTTGATTAAATAGACAGTTTGCATTTGTATACAGAGCAAGTGCACTCTGAGCATGCATTGCAACATGGGAAAGCCCATGGATATAGGACGGGAAAGGGAGCAGTTTTTCACATCATAAAGGTACATGCAGACACCTTTAGGTACCTGCCACCACATAATATAGCACAGATGCCTAGTTGGTGACCGGTTCACTTTAACTAGTTGTAAATTTTCAGTGAAGATTCAGAAAACAGTTGCCTTTTCGATGTATTTGTTCTCATTTACTCCCAGCCACTTGAGTAAGTGAGGTACAGAATGAAAATAATGACTTATTGTGATATGGGTGCCGGTCTATATGTACCATGTGCATCATCGATGAAGGATATTCCAAGCCTTTATTATGTGAGGCGAGCACTGTGAGAAATAGTTATTCATATATTCTAAATAGTGTATTCATCTACAGTACTGTACATAGCTTTATAAAGGCATCATCCTATTACAGAAATCCCAGCACTTTGTGTGATCGTTGTCTACACCAAAATTGTCAGCATCCAATGATGACTGGGTGTCAGAGGGTACCACAGATCTCAGCAAGCAATCTCTGAACACTGCAATTTGCATGTCTGGAATTAGTTGGCCATTTTCCTTTTAATAAGTCTATTGCTGGAGGCGCATTTAATGCACTTAGACATGCACAATGGCGATTTTGTAGCAGCTACAGAACCACTCCTTAGCATTTTTGTTGCTGGGAAAAAATGTATCGTAGTTAAGGAAAGTCCTTTGTCACAAACATTCCAAGAGATTGGTAGCTGCGTCATTGAGCATTTTAATTTCTGAAGCACTTGGAGATAGTTCTTGATCCCATACCTTTCCTACACAAGTGCCCTACCTATCTGTGCAATACATAGAGACCATACATTGTTTAATAAGACAGTTGTGGTCATTATGCAATAACCCTTAGCAACCAATCAGCATTCATCGATCTACTGATATGCATACAGCACACTGAAATCTGATTGATTGCTATGTTGTGCTGCCATTTGCACAGTAAATTCACAGTGTATGAATCTATCTCTGTTAAAAAAACATGCAAAATCAGGTTTGCATAATAATCACATTAGTGTAGCAAATTATCTCTGGGTGCCTATACAGTGTGAAAGGATAACATTTACTTCTGAAAGGAGAACATCCTCAGGTAGTGATAAAAGACTAGGGTATATGTTACAGCGTTGAAGAAAATTCTTACTAAAATGAAGCAGGCCAGTACTAGATGTTTATGCAGTTTGTATTCTGAACCTGGAGGGGCATAGGACTTATAGCACTGGGGTCTCTGGTTCAAATCCAAGTCAGGACACTACCTGTATGGAATTTGCACGTTCTACTTGTATTTGCACAAGTTTCTTCCAGGTGCCCTGGTTTCCTCCAACACGCCAAAGAGATTTTGGTAGGTTATTTGGCTCCTGTCTAAATTGGCCGTGGTATGTGTGTACAGTATGTGTGTACAGACTGGCAATGCGCATGTGTTATCACATTTTGCATGCAAGTCCCAAGTCAAGCAATTGGGAAGGGTTGAGGAAAGGTCTGGTGTCCTACCTCATAAAAAAATGGCAAGAAAATTCTATGTAAAAAAGACTTTCAAGTTTATCAGACTTGGCGCCCAGAGAGTTGACCCATAGTATCACTGAGAGCTGGATACAACTGTATGGGTATATACATACATACCCTGCACCTGTCCTATCAACCAGGTTGAACTAATGTTGATACATCGTGCCATAGAGTGTATCTAAAGTTGGCCATACACTGAGCACATTTTAGCCAGTTCCTGATGAACTGTATGAAAGTCATTCAGTGGATAGTCCTGTCGACCTGCTCCGTTCAACAAAAATCAATCAACTTTTTTTGAAGGAGGCTGCTGGAAAATGTATGGCCGAACAGCAGCTGCATCCATTCTGATGAAGTCCCTGTTTGGGTATCTGACTGGTGGCAGCAGTGGTTGTTAGAATACAATAGCCCACAATAGGAGATTGGTCCATCCATGCTGTTTAGCGTGGATGAGGAATCTGTTAGAGTTCTTTCGTTCACCCCATAGGCTGGAGCAAAATAAATCTAACCATGTATGGCCAACTTAAAGTATAAAGGCAAAACCTTTTAGTCTTGGACAGAGTTCAGAGGGATTAGAGCCCCTGTCAGTTTTTATTGCTTTCTATGCTCCCATTAAGGAGATTCACCCTCTCTATTTGTCCTGTTTGCCATTATAATTGAAAGTGAAAGTAAAAGAAAATCCCAAATTTTGGGTTGTCCCCAGAAAATTATTAGAGGGGAAATCTTCCAATGGAGACTTGGGGGCCACCAAGGATTTCCCTTAATTTTCAGGGATTTCCTCTCACTTACTATTTGGCTATGGGACAGAGAGTGAAGGGAAATCTCTGTGATGAGACACAGATGGTGAAAAAAAAATCTGACAGGGCTTAAAACCATCCCTTGCTCTATCCAAAATGGAAAAAAAAAATGTTTTGCATATAGTTCCACTTTAAGAATAGTGCTAGTTAGTACTGTGTGCACACCAAGCCAGATGCATATAGTTATACCTGAAACAAAAAATCCACAAAATGACCAGATCCTTCATTTTATCTAAAGAAGGGCTTTTTTACGATATAGTAGTTTGGTGTTGAGAATAATTAGAAAGCTGAAAAAGCAATTATGTTTACAAATAGATTTATATGTGTGTATGGTACAAATCAAGTCTAGAAAAAAAATGTATGTTTGGATCTTTTTTTTTAGCTTCGATTGTGTTTTTGAATACCATACTTGAAGGAACTGTGAACTTCATTTGGTACCATTATATTGTAGCATCCTCTACAAAACTGTCTTCATACCCAGTGTTACTAATGGACTCAGTGTTCAAGAAGGTTAGATCTGCTTTCCAGCAAAGCAATCAGCCAACTTGGCCTAACAAACAAAAGCAGTTGTAGGATTAGTCGGTTTCAATTTCTGCATGGTGTAGGATTGACAACTTGCTTGAATTTTCGCTAGGCCACTAAGACCCAGCACAATCCTCTCCCTGACTGGATGATTGTGTGGATGTGATGCATACGTAGAAAACGCATTGTGTCCTTTCTTTCTGGATTGCTCTCCACCTGTCCAGAGATTTTTTAGCATGTTTTAAAATCTGTGTGTAGTATTGATCACTTTGTATTGCTGGAAGTGCTATTTAACACTGTCTAGTTAACCCCTACACAGGCTAATCAGCACAAGTGATGCTCAAATTGATAGATTGCTAATTATTCAATGTACATCAAGTCTGTTGCTATGCTGGTGAATAGCAAGTTGATTTTTTGACCAATATAAAAAGATTTGAGCATTTTATATATTTTTTAATTCTAATATTTGGTTGAAGAAATACTCCAGCATGAAAAAAAGATGAATATTGACTTTTTTCTATATCGGAGCAAGGTCTTTAATGTAAGGTCACCTTCAGTATTTGCAGAAGTATTGGAGCCTTCAGTATTTTGTTGCACTGTGAGATGCATTTTTTTTTAATTTCTGTTTTTTTAGGAAGGTTCCTAAACACAGTCTCCATTATTAAGCTGTTAAATCACCTATGCACTCAGCAGACGGTTAAATTAGGCACTGACTTGTTATACATCTAGAGACACCAGTAGCAATATCAAGTATTTCCTCCCATTAGTTTGTCGCCCCTTTGGCAGCGCCACAATGAAGGTTGTTTTCTTACGCATATGACTGTAAAAGCTGCTGCAGTCAGGTATAAGTAGTTAGTGTATTTTGGGTGGAGCTGGTCATTAAATTGCTTACTCCACCCTCAAGATAAGCAATGCACAGGATAACGTAAAAGGTGTACGTTTGTTCTTATCTTACCAAAGGTTTTTCGTTTTGAGCTATCCAGGCAAAAAAGCACAAAGTTAGTTAAATATATAATCATATTATGCTAGTTTACATTTTTGAATTTACTTTTTTCTATTTTTATACAGTTATTGCATTTGTGGATTTTTATAAAATGAAGGCATTTTTTTTGCATCTTTCTCTTTATCTTTTCAGCAGCATTTAGCCTAAATAATGTTATTGTTATATGTTTGATTGCCTGTGGTCTTATGCAAACCTTCAATAGTTGTATTTTCCTATTTAACTTAGTGCTGTTATAAACGCACGGCAATATGATTGTACAATGTAACTGCAATTTTAATGTATTTTAATGCTAAAGTGTGATCAAACCGTTGTTTTTTTGTCTGCTGTTTCTAATGATGTGCACTAACATTTTGTTTCTACATATATTTTGTAGCTGCATTTTCCTTTTGGTCCACAAGAGGACATTGTGTACATGTCATGGAGATGCATCTTGTCCCCATGTTGATGAGGACAAGGGCCTCCTCCCCACAACCCTGGCCTGGTAGTTGTGGGTGTCTGTTCTCTATACCCAGTGTGAAGGTGAAGGGGCTGTGTGGGTACAGCTACACCAAGGCCCAAAATTAGAAG